TCTAAAGCACTGTTCGATACGGTTCGATACGGGTGCATGTATTGTTGCACCTCTATTTTCTACATATAGGTAAAATTAATCACTGCAATAAAATAACTGTCTGTTTTTGTCACTTTTATTGCATCAATTCTGTTACATACAGAAGGGAAACTTCACCAAAGTGAAACATAAATTTGTGGATCTGTGTTTGATTACTCTGCCTGGCTTTCTCAAGGACCAGGATGTGACACAAMMAYCTGAATTATGGAACTGAAAGTGAAAGTAGTCAAACTGAGTTTTTAATAAACCAAAATACAGTTTCAAAGCAAATTAATTCAAAACTTTAAATTCAGTTTAAATTTAGTAAAATTCATTTTAAAACCAATGCATTCAATTTCAAATTATGCACATTCAGATTCAATCTGAGCAATTCAAATTCAGTTCCTGCTGGAACAAGATTTATCCCATAGATGTATCTGAACTTGTGTCTCAGCTGATTTTTATGAGACGAGGTAATAATGTGCATCTTGGTTCAAAATGTTTTCATGTTTTTTACGATCTCCAAATCTCTAACCTCCACCGGTGACGTTTTCTGCTCAGCGTGCCGCGTTTGACTTTCAGAGCAGACATTTAAAACAACAAGTTTTAGTTTATTTTTATTGTAGTACATGAGCGATTTGTGATGTTTCTGGTGTCACATCGAAGTTAACCGTAGAAAGGAACAGACTGTTTTTGTTTCAGATGTTTTAGAAACACAAGAGGAGACAGAAACGACAGGAGGATGATAGTTCTCAGAATAAAACACGACCACAACGAGCCCACTGTTTGGATTCAGCCCTCAACTTGTGTGTGTGTGACAGGACGAGGCAGAGGAGGAAGGAAAGGGAGTTTTCAGAATGTGTGAATATGTATTTCCATCCCGAGGTCGACAGAACCAAACCCAGTCCTCTGCAGATTCATTTCCTCTTATTTTATTTTATTTTATCCAGGAACAGTTAAAGCAAACGGACCAAATGAGAAGACAGATAATTTTCTAAGTGATTTAAAATTTGTGATATTGTCTGTGTTCCAGATATCTGGTCTTTGGGGGTGATCCTGTACATGCTGGTCTGTGGAGTCCCTCCCCTCCAGGAAACCAACGACAGTGAGACCCTGGTCATGATCCTGGACTGTCGGTACTCCGTCCCCGAACACGTTTCTGACGACTGCAGAGAGTGAGTCCTGAGGAATCAACATGTAAACATCAAACTGAACCAGACGTTCAGCAGCTGGCCACGAAACCTCATTACTGTGAATAATTGTATGGCATCAGATTGTTTGCGTCAGACGAGCTGAGACCATAAACCCCGTCTTATCTGAGCCTCACAAACACAGTTCTGGAACAAAACACAGCTGATAAATACGTGTTTGTCTTCTCACCTAACCTTCACTCCTCACACCTTCAGCCTAAACACTCAGACTGTTCCCAGCTCGCAGAACAACACCAGCAGATGATTTCTGCAAAATCAAAAAGAAGTAAAACCAAACTGATGCTTGTGTCAGGAAGAAGCACCGAATTAAAGCTTAAAAACAAGAAATCATTTGTATTATTCTACATTTAGAAACACTGTCATCAAATACATTAGGAAGCCAGTTCCTTCAGAAACATTCACTTTTGCTGTTTTTAAAACGCAGCTAGTGTTTTGCCACCTTTAGTTAGCATTTTCCCACTTTATAGCTAACCTACTGCTATTTAAACATGTTTGCTGCTTTTAGCTTTCAGCTAGCATTTTGCTGCTTTTAGCTAGTCTTTTGGTACTTTTACAGAACAATTTTCTGCTTTTAAGGAAAGTTTGGTTTCTACTTTTCAGATTCAACCAGTGGTTTTGCCACTTTTAGCCAACATTTTAGCACTTTATGGTTAGCATTTTTACCGTTATAGTTAGTATTTTGCTACTTTTAGTGTTCAGGTAGCATTTTGCTGCTTTAGTGAACCTTTTGCTACTGTTAACTAGTGATTTGCTGCGCTTAGCTGCTCGTAACTAGCATTTTGCTATTTTATATTTAGCCTTTTGCTTATTTTTTAGTTATCCATTTGCTACTTTTAGCTCTCAGTTAACATTTTGTTGCTTTTTGTCTTTTGGTACTTTTTGATATAGATTTGTTGCTCTTTTTTAACTAGCATTTAGCTACTGCTTAGATTCAACCAGTGTTTTGCCACTTTGAGCTAGCATTTTGCTACTTCACAGTTAGCTTTCTGCTACTTTTTAAACAGCTATGTACTACTATTAGCTTTCAAATAACATTTTGCTGCTTTTAGCTAGCATTTGGCTATTTTTAACTAAATATTTGATGCTCTTAGTTAAAGTTTGGCTGTTTTTTAACTAGCATTTTGCTATTGTTTAGAATCAGACAGTGTTTGCCACTTTGAGCTATCAATTTGCTACTTTATGTTAGCCATTTACTGCTTTATAGTTAGCCTTTTGCTACTTTTAGTGTTTAGATACCATTTTGCTGCTTTTAGTGAACCTGTTGTTACTTTCAACTAGAGATTTGATKCGCTTAGCTGCTCTGAACTAGCATTTTGCTAACTTTTGACTTATGTTACTGCTTTTAGCCTTTAGCTTTCATTCTGCTCCTCTTTATCTGTTTGACAACTCCATTCCAGCTTCATCAGCAAACAGTTGAATAATGAATTCACTACATTCAGAGGTTGTTTCTCTGGTTATTTGTTGTTCTGATTATTTTTCCAGAGATCTTATAAGTCAGGAGTTTTTTTTTATTTTTTATTTTTTTATTTATTATTTGGAACATGCCCACCTTCAGGGCAGTTAGGTTTGGATATAAATACCTCCTGGAACAATAATCTGCTTTCAGGACAATGAAACATCTGAGGAAAAACCTGTATGTGGCTCTGTAAACCCAACTCTTTGCTTCTGGGTTTTTCAGTCTTGTTTTTACAGTTTTCTCACATTTTCACACTGATTTGGGACCCCAGCAGGGACAAAGACTAATCTTSATGTGAYTTTTGTCCTGATTCATGTGACGGATCAGAACAATCTCTGGTGAAACAGAAAGGGRCAGATTTCTGGCTCAGATAGATTATCACTAAAACATTATTAAATATGTTTCATCAAACAGTAAAAGTTGTTTTTCTTGTCAGTTTGATCTCCAGGATGCTGCAGAAGGATCCGGCTCGCCGGGCTTCGCTCGACCAGATGGAGGCCCACCAGTGGCTGCAGGGCCTGGACGACCTTCTCCTCAGCCCCGAGGCCCCGCCCCACTGGGTCTCCGGTGCTCTTGGTGCTACCTTTCCTTCTTCGGGGGCCCCTGAGTGTGGGGATCTGCTCGCTGCGAGGCCCCCAACTCAGCAGGCTGCCCCTCAGGCGTGGCAGCCCAGCTTCAGCCTCCGTCCGGCTCCGGTCGAAGAGACTCCTGTCAGCAGAAATCTGCCCGCGCTGCAGCAGATCTGTGAGGAGGAGGAGGAGGAGGAGGAGGAGGAGGAGGATGGTTTTGTTAAAGGTGGACGTGCTTCTGTAAATCCAGGAGAAGATGAGATGTTAGGATTGGACGGTTCTGATTCCAGAGAACAGGATCCAGTTGAGGAGAATGACGACAGCGGTTGTGTGATTTCAGATCAACCCGTCAGTCACTGGGACGAGACCCTCACCGAGACCCCCTCCTCCCTGTCTGGTTTCGGGGTGTCCTGTTGTCAACCGGACATTTCCAACGGAGAGGACGAACCCAACAACAACACGGACAAACCCGTCCCCCTCCTCTCCACGCCGGAGTCCTCGCACGTCCCCGCGTCTCCGCCGAGAACGGAGAACGAGCCGAGCGGGAGGGCGGGGGAGTCGACGGAGAGGCCTCGGCCCCGCAGCCCGCAGGGGACCCGGGACGAGCCGGCGCCGAAGGCGGAGCAGGGGAAACGCCACAGCATCAAGCTCCGCGAGAGACTCTTCCAGTTCCCCCTGTGTGAGAAAGCTCTGGCCTTCAACATCCCCACGCACAAGAAGCCCAAAATCCTGCCGCTGGCTCAGTACAACTGCTGCCACGTGCTGTGACCCGCATCGACCCGGGTCCCATCCTGTGACCCGCATCGACCCGGGACGCCGTCCCATCGCCCGCCCGCTCTCTGGGTCCATTATGGGACACTTGAGGCGTGGCAAACGGACTGAGACGACGAGCAGGCGGGCGTCTGCGTACCGACTAGGCACGGGCCGATGACCGGTTTCATTAAAACACCAGAAGGCATCAGAATAAAGGAACCTGTTAAACCTGTTAAATAAGCAAAAGTAATTGTGACCCATCACATCGAAACAAGGAAATATAGTCCAAAAAACATTTTTGAAGCTTTTTTTTTGAGCAGCAGCAACAAAAAAAAAACTGATTTTGAGGAACAATGCCTTTAAAATTCTGAATTTTTCCCAGTGAGCTAGCAATGTTTTTGTTTCTTTTCAAATGGGAAATCTTAATATACAAATACTATTTGAGGTTTCCTCTTTATATCGACATCAAAAATTACTCTCAGGGTTCCCACAGATTCTTAAAAAGTCTTAAATCAATCTTTCAGAGGTCTTAAAATTAAGTAGGATGATTGTAATTCCTCTCAAATATTAAAAGAATTGGTAACA